CCCCGCAAACTCTGGTATTTGTCTTTTATTTGTTCGTGCTGCACGTCGCCTGTCCAAAGGTTGCTGTTTTTGCTCGTCGTCCTCCAGCAGGCTGGCGCTCCCTTCCTCAGGGGCATCAGACTCCCTTGGACCAGGCTGGGGCCCAGCCTGCTGCCTGGCTTATTGCTCTGTTTCTCTTTTCGCACGTCTCTGCTGCGCCAGCTTTGCCAGGGTCTTGCGCTGGCACCCGCCCCCCCCCCCCTTGTTGTGTACATGCACCCATTCTATCATCCTGCGGGCCTGAGGCCGAACCACAACGCAGGCTGGCGCTGCAGTCCCCAGCCAGGTGGTGTACGACACAATGCAGACTGCACAAGATGACAGGCTAGTGCGGCTGTTTTCGTGCCTTCAGCACACGCTCTGTGGGCTGCGACACAGTGCAGGGCCGCTCCCCTGGAGCGCTTCCCTGGGCTGGGATGTGGAGTGAAAGCCAGGGGTCTGCTGAAACCACCGCACGCCTGCCTGTAACCAGTTGCGTTCCCTTGCCTGTGGCATCCTAATCACAAGAGAGATCTCAAGGCACGTATTTCAGTGCGCCGGATACCCAGCCGCAGTGGCGGCCTCCAACAACAGGTCGGTCCCTGGGACCTGCCTCTCGGCGGGTATGATGAAATTGGGGGTCCGAGGTGCAAGTACCGAAATCCACGCTTTGCAGGCAATCAATGCAACCACCACCTTGCCACAAATCAATCATCACGCCTTCAACCATGTGGATAGTACATCGTTGGTGCACGCAAGCGGGCGTCATATCATTTAGATCGTATGCTTGTTGCGCGGTGTGTGCCTACGCAATCGGCAGCAGGCGCATCATCGGTGCCGACGCTGTGAGAAGAGGATGGGAGGTGCTCATCGGCGCGGTTGAAGGCAAGGGGGCCACCCCCATGGCAGCGCCGTGTCATAAATGGATGGTCTGTCGGTGCCGAACGTAGGGCTTCTGCGACGCCAGGCCCTCTGCGAGGGCCCCGGCAGACAGTAGCCCGCCAACGCACTCGTTCATCTGCGGGGTATGAGCAGGGGTGGGGCGGGGGCCGACATTTTTTGTTCCGCGCCTGTGTCAACTTGCTACTGGACAGGGCTTGGCCATAGCGGTGCGGAGCGCCTCGAAGCAGTAGATCTTCCAAATGAGAGTTACAAAGGGGCACGCCGCAACCGCAGCCACATCTGCCTGAGCTTGCACCCCCCACCTTGTCGGCGACCCGGCGGTCGTGCGCGATGCAGGCGCTGTGTGCTGCCGCTGCGTGTTGCTGCCGCTCCAGCCCGCGGTCGAGCGCCGCCGCGAGCTTCTGAATATACGCGGCCGCCTTGAGCAGCTCCTGCTCGCTCAAATTGCCCCTGTTGGACGGTGCGGCAGCCGTGCAAATCGGGGATGTAACAGCAAGGTCGGTCCGCGAGCTGGTCATGAGGCATGCTGAGAGGTTGCGGACCCGCAACGCAACATTTGCGCTGGGGCGTGCAACGAAGGCGCCACCGGTACAAACCACTGATTGGGTCCCAATGTGTTCCGTTTCTGTCCCTTTGCCTAGCGTCCCCTCACCCTGGCCGGCTGCTGCTGCTGCTTCCGTTCCCTGCGCTGCGATGGAGCTGCTCGCGCAGTAGGTCGACCACCGCCCGCAGCTGCCCCATGCGCTTGGTGACGTCTTTTGCATGAGGATCCGATTCCATGGATGTAATTTGTGTATTTATGCCCTTAATATCCGTAAGGAGCGCACAAGCGGCGCCCTTGACCAATCCGAGCTGCGCGATTGGACCGGTGACCACGTTACCAACGCGAGTAGGGTGGTTGTCATGACACAAAAAAATTGTTATTTTTGTTGCCGGCCGCCGCGCTTTCTTCCTGGGGGCACCCCTTGCGATACCGCTTCAATGGCTGTTGCATACCTCCGGTGCCTGGCGCAGCGCCTGCACAGCTTCGGTCGTGCGACGGGCAGGCTCACAGCGGGCCACACTCTGAACGAGGCAGGCGACCTTTCAAGCGTGCAGCGCAGTCCTCCCGGGCCTGCTCGTGTACCCATCATGCCACCGTTCAAGCCGCTCACTGGGACAAAGCAGGGGTGGGGAGCAGTCAAGCGGTCATTCTGCTGCATGCTTGGGCCTTACCCAACAAAACTGCACAACCATCACGCTCTCAGCACAATATCTACAACACTATCGGGCGGCCAGCCGCTGCATAGGGTGCCAGTACATCAGTTCTCTCTTAGACATGCACTTGGTCTACACGCACACACGCACACACGCACACACACACACACACACGCACGCACACACGCACGCACGCACGCACGCACGCACGCACGCAC